TAACTTCTTGCCCAACTTCATTAAGCCCAGGTGTGGGAATCAGAGAAAGTTATCATGGCAATCTGAGTGCCTGGAGCAAAGAACAGGTCAATTACGTGCATAAAAATAATATTGGCTTTATGTGTTTGCATGAATTCTTTTCTTTTTGTTCTGTTACTGGGTGAGTCATGGCAAGTCAGGAATATATCAGAGAAGGACATGTTCTTCCAAAATGCTTAAATCTCTGTACTGGAGACAGTGTAAGAACAGAGAAAATCAGCCTGCTACCAGGTGAGATATACCACTCATCTAACCTAGCACTAGAGCTGAGAAAAGTTTAGGACTACAACTCCACAAATCCCTGGGAGATATAGTGCCAAAAAGTAACCTTTCCAATGTATATGTAGTTTTGTCTGCTCTGGTACTTTTGGGGATCTTATAATTTCTGTCACTGATGCCACCCTATTTTTCTCATTGAAGATGGTAGGAATTGAAGTGGGACTATCTCCATGCAAATACAGTACAATCATTGTGGTATAATGGTTAGAAAGTGTTGCCTAGGACTTGCAAGAGCCTGATTCTAGTCCTCACTGGACTCATTAATTCACTGGGTGAACATGGATGGTCTCATATTTGCAGATGCAGACATGTAATACAGATTATAGCTTCTGTTATACGATTATTTCAGTTGCACAAACTCCATTGGCTTAATCCAGCAAACAGACAAATCTTGAGACTCGATTCAAACAATTGCAACCTTGGTTTGAAATTTTCCTTTCTGACTCCATTCTGCTAACTGTTTTTACTTGAAGTGCAGTTATACAAGCACATTTTCTGAGTCAGAGTTTTCATGCTGTAATATAAGAAGTTTGTAATTACTTAAAAGTTACCCAGTGGCATGAGATGGGACTGAGGAGTAACTGAAGAAAATATTTCAGTCACTGCCTTGGAAAAAAAAAAAGGATTAATTCTCCACATTGGGAATCTTCCTCTCTCCGTTTCAGTATGAAGTTGATATCCTATGAATGTTTACTTGGGAACAAATCCCAGTGACATTAGATGAACTTACTTTTGAATAAACATGGTTAACATCTGGCTGCCGGTTGGCCTGGACTTCTCTCTTCACATTCTAAAAATAAGAGAATCTTTTCATATTTAAATCCTGCATTTTGCTGTTTTAAAGTACAGAGCAGTCTGTAGACATTATCTCGCTCATTTTAGTATCAGTGAGTTTGGAAATGTACTTTTAAGCAGATTTAATATAACTTGTTGGAAACATCCAAAACTGAGAAGGTAATAGTATCATTTTCTAAAAGATTTCTTTCTTTCTTTCTTTCTTTCTTTCTTTCTTTCTTTCTTTCTTTCTTTCTTTCTTTCTTATTCTGCCTTTCTCCCAATATGGAAACCAAAGCAGCTTTCAATATAAGAGGCTTATCTCATAGCTAAAATAAAACGTTTTACCTGAATCAAAATTAATTTTAAATCGGGATGCATCCAGACCCTATCACAAAGATTTTGCCACTGAAATCGCCTCACGAATGCAGCCTGGGTCCATTTCCACTCCCAGGCGCCTCTTTTCAAAACCGGGAGTTTTCCAGCTAGAAAAATGGCTGCCGGAGCACTCCTGGAAATGGAGATGGACTTGGGCTGCATTCAGGTGGCAATTTCGGTGGCAAAATCTTTGTGATAGGGTCCAGATGTTGCCCGATTTAAAATTAAATTCGATTCATATAAAACGCATTATTAGCCATGCAATAAAGTCCTAAGTGAAAACAAAATATAGTTAATACAGTAGTAGAAAGTACATTTCTGTACTGCAGTACACAATATCAATTTAAAAAAGAGATCTTGTAGCACATTTGAAACTGAGTGAAAGACTCAATCCAGGAGGCCATGGCCCTGAGCCTGCAGGACCTACGCAATGTGGTTGAGGACAGGGGATCTTGGAGATGACTGATCCACAGGGTCGCCATGAATCGAGGCGGCCCCACCTCTCATGCCCACCCCCAGTTGAGGCCAAGCAGGCCTCAAGCCCATTCCTAACACATTTGCTGTTCCCCACCAAGAAATGTGCCCTGCACTCTGGGTTTGAGATCTGCTTGGCAGCCTGTTCCTGCTGCACATCAGAGGAGCCTTCTAAGGCTTTTGAAAAGCTTTAGAAACATCCTTCTGCCTCATGCCCATTGCCTAACACATTTGCTGTTCCTCTCCAAGAAACACGCCATGCGCTTTGAGGATGGGTATTGCCTGCTGCTCAAAGTGAAGGATGTCATAAAATTGGTTGTTAAAAATATACAAGTCATCAGTTGAGTCGAGTCAGTACATCATTTATTGTAACATTGCGTCCGAGTCAAGTAATTGAAGCAACTTGAGTCCAATTTGAGTCTGAGTCAATTGATTCAAATCTACATCACTGCAAAACAGTCATTCTCTTCCACCTGTTCCCTTTTTGATCTTGATATCTGCGTTTCAGAATTTCATGCATACAATCCAGCCATGAATATTGATAACTAAAGTGGGAAATAAGTTTATCTCATGCCTCATCCAAGTTGAAGCTTCTATTGTATTTCTTTGGCTTCAGGACACTCATAAATGTACAGCCAATGTGCAATAGGGATGACATGAATATTTGTTGTTATTTGATTGCTAGATGAGAAAAGGGTTTTCTGACACTCAGAAAACCCCATTGTGAGGGGTATCACAGCAGCAAAACCTTTGTGCAGTTTTCTCCTGGTTTTTGCACATTTTGTTCAGGGGTTTTTGAATGTGCAGAAATATGTGCAATTTTCCTGCACAAAACACAACTTTTTTTTTGCATAGAAAAACCATGTCTATTTTGTATAATAGCTCATTGGAACACTTTAGCATGTGCAAATAGCAGGAGAAAACTTTTTTTAAAAATATGATCTCTCCCCCCCCGCCATAGCAGAGATAAAATTATGAAAATTCTTAATCCTTGCATGCAAGCATGCAATAAGTGAAGATTTATATTCCTAATTGTGCAATCCTGCAAGAGATCTTCTATTTTGGATTTTTATGACAGGTTGTTGTGTGTATGTATAATATATGTAGCACTGAAGGGCACATGTCTTCTTGTAAGCCGCCCTGATTGGATTATCATTGGGCGGGGTATAAATAAATTTTTTTTTATTATTATTATTATTATTATGACAATGGCAATGAGGTAATTTTGGCTTGTTGACACTACACCCATTTATATCTCTATGAGTGAATAAGAATCAGATCCTTATCCTGTGTATATATTTTTAATTAGCTCAGAAAACATTTCCATATCAGCATATACATAATTAAAGAAAAACAATCTCATCATCGCTTTAGTTTTGTTTCTATATTATATTAGTTTTCCACCTCCTGTTTAGAATATAAACAAAATACATTTTAAAGTGCAAACCTTAATTATTCATGTCATTATTACTTATATATAAAGTATATTTTTTCAAACTGACTAACTTGAGGACCAGAAAAGGGAAAATAAGAGAACACACAATCAAAAAGAAGAAGAAAAAAGGAATTAAGAAAAAAAGAGGGAAAATAAAAATGAATTTAAGGAATAGAAGGATACAGGCAGAAAAAAGACCTTGTAATCTTTTCATTCCAGTAATTAAAAAACAACAACAACCTATGGCCTAAATACTGTAAAGGTACCAGATTCCATCTGATCTTGGAAAGTAA